CTATTCAACCAAATTATCCTGCAATACGGGCTTCGTCCTTGCTAGGTAGGAGGGAAAGTCTTCGCCATTCCTCCCGCCACCCCTAGAAGATTATATCATTGGGGCAGGGGGCTGGGAACGCCAGACGCCCGATTATATGTATATATATATAGATAGATAATTATCTGGCGTTCTTAATCTCCCCCTCTCCAAATATTATGATTTGATATGGTCTAAATTCCTTCTAAATCTTTCTCGATTCGAAATCTTGATTTTTTGAGAAATCCAGAATATTGAAATTAAAATTCGAAAATTTAAGCTAGACCTAATATCCTAAGTTCCCACAATCATTCTATAGGGGGGAAGCGGCAGTCCATTCCATCCCATAGGAGGGGGTATATCTTAGATTATAGATCATGGAGGGGGGGAGGGGGACCGCGAAGTGCGTGCCTATATATATATTTTTTCCAAATTATTGATATTATGATGAATTTATATGAATTGAATAGAATATTAGTAGGTAGTGAATTCATATTCTATTATTTTATCAGAAGATGGATTATGGTTGATAATATTTATAATATATAGACGAATCTTGTGATATATGATGATATAAATATACGAATTATAGATGAAGATTTGAAATTCGTATTGAGGATTGGATTGGAGAGAGGGGCTAGATCGTAGATTATAAGAAAATTTTTAATTGAAAAGAAAGAATTGAGAGGGATATAAATTTCATTGAAATCTATAGAAATAAATATAATAAGAATAATAGATTTAAGGATTATATATTTTCGATTTAAAATCATAGGATTTCCGATCTATGAATATTCAGGATTTATCGCTCATATTTTCAAAAGATTATACGAAATCTTAAAATCATAATTATGACGCAAGAGATGCCAATCAATATTAAGAAATTCCCTGGATTTGATATTAATATCGAATATATGAATTTGAAAAATTAGAGGAGCAGATAATCTCATATACGAAAAATGAAATGATGATCTTGTTAGAGTATTCCAGAGGAGTATTATGTGTGTAGAGCGGGTATTATATTGGGTATTATGGTATTATTATATTCTGATTGATAGATATATTCTTGGATATGTCCTGTCTAATATATATATATATATATATATATTATCTGTTGCGTGGATAATATAAATTGGGGGCTGTGCGCTAGGGATTGCATACTACTTGTTCATTAATATAGGCTGCGGGTTGGGGACTGAGCATTTGAATTATGCGGCTGTGTCTTGTGAATAGGGAGATGAAGATTAGGTATTGAGTATTGCGAGTTATGGGCTGCGTATTGCGTATTATATGATACGAAGATTATGGATTATATAATGGGTGCTGCAGGTCTTAGGCTAGCTGCTATCTCTTATAATACGTATATTATCTGCTATATAATATAAACTATATATCATATATATTGGATGAATTATTTACATTGAATGAATTATTTATAATATTTATATTCTATAAATAGTATATATTCCATATAATGAATTTATTTTATATCATGCATATATTCTATCTTCTGAATTTTCTTGATGATATTGATAATCTCTTAGAGTGGAGATTTTCAATTTATATATTATATATTCCTAGATTCCGAGATTTCCAAGATAAAGTTCGTATCTCGTAAAATCTTCTATAGAGAAGATTCAATAGTATATATAATCTTCTAGAATCGGAATCTCTTTATAGAATCATTATCAAAGATTTAATATCGAATAAAAAGCGCTGATATAAAATTCATCTTTCCAAGATTCTAGTAATACGAGACGACCATATAAGAGGTTTTCATAAAGAACGCGGAAGAATATCAAATTTTTGGGAGGCAAGAGGGGGACTAGGGCGGTCCCCTTCTAGTAGCGGGCGTATAATAAATTAATAAAATATTCATTATCTGAGTGCTACTCATAAAGATAGCAGAGAAGAAAGAAAGAAATAATTATTTTTGCAGCATACGATATTTCATAATATTGGCAAAACGAATTATGCCTCACGAGCTTATAAAAAAAGAATAATATATTATTTTAAAATTCGATCTTATATTCGAATATTTCCAAACCAGAATCTAATATATAATATAATTATAGAGAAAGGTCAGCAGGGAGAGAGAAAGAAACAGAGATAGAGAGAATTAGAAAAGAATATAGAAAGATCAGAGAGAGATATAGAGAGAGAGAGAAATAAAGAAAACCAGAAAGATATATAAAAAGAGAGATATAGAGAGAGATATAAAGAAAGGGAGAAAGAGAAATATAGAAAAAAAAAGATTCCGAGAGATATATAGAAAGAGACCCAGGGAGACGCGGAGAGAAATATAAAGAGAAGTGGAGAAAGAGATAGAGAGAACAACCCAGAGAGAGAAATAGTGAGAGAAATAAAGAGAGATAGAAAAAGAGCGATAGAGCGAGAGAGAGGGATAGAAAAAGAAATAGATAGAGAAATATAGAAAGAAACGTAGCGAGAGAGATAGATATAAAGAAATAGAAATAGTACGAAATAGAAAGAGAAAAATTGATAGAAATAAAAAGAAAGAGATTTAGAACGAGATAAATAGATGAATAGAGAGAGATCTAGAAAGAGAGAGGCATATAGAAAAAGATATATAGAGAGAAATAGAGAAGAGAGATGTAGAATAAGATATAGAGAATCAGAGAGATAGAGAGATAACGAGACAGAAATAAAACTAGAGAGATAATAGTTTTCCAATGAATCCGGTAATAAAAATTATTTTTCTTTTCTTTTCTTTATATTTAATTAATCGAAATCATTTTATGAAATTCCACGAGTTTTTCATAAAATTTATAAATAATTTTAATGAAGTTCTCATAGAATTTTTTCATATATAATATTTCTATATTCATTTTTTAAATTGCCTCCAAGATCTCGTATGCAAGGAAATAGAATAAAAATCTATGAAATTTCCCGCGAATTTCATAGAAAAAAAAAAATATATACACAAATATAAAAATATAAATTCGTAAACTCATTTTATTGAATAAATATAGTACAAAATCTAAATCTAATATGCCTATATGATACGTCGAATATTTATTTATTCAATATATATTTATCGCCGAATATGAAAATAAAGATAATATCAAGCCCTTGATCCTCCCAATCTTTTCAAAAATCATTATATTCCCAATTTCCGAAATAGAATCGGATTCGAATTGAACCGGATATTTATTGAAAAGTGTGCCAACTATTTTGACCGCCAATTCTGAAAATATTCTTGTACCTTTTCAACGCAAAAGAAAGATCGAGATTTCAAAAATAGAAGAATAAGTAGTCCTTTATTGAATCATGTCTGCAAGCCGACGTAGCAACATAAAAACATATAGAAGGAATCGAAAGCAGTCGAAACCAATCTCTCGCATCTTTTCTGGAATGTCTTAAAAAGTTCGGTAGAACCACTTTGCCGATTGGTCAGGAACCTGGTCAATATGCATTCAAAATCAGCCACACGAGTCTGCCGATCAATGCGCATGGCCTGAGGTGCTGAAGTAGAACGGTTGCAGAACAAGGGCAAGTTCAACGATATTGAACATGTTGATCACCTCAACGACAAGACAGCGTGAAGAACTGCCAATTGTCGTGAACTGCCGTTCTCTTAGATCCGCACTGGAATCTTTTTGAGAACCCAATCCTTGATGAGGATGCGCAACCGATCAGGCACCGTGATCTGTTCTGCTTGGACTCAACCCAGGACGGCTGAGGAAGCAGCCAAAGCCTCACTCGGACGGCGAAAAAGTTTGTCAAACATCGGCGACCTGCTCAAGAATACACGGCATTCACAAATATGTGGACAACACCTCTCCAACGTCCTGCTCTTTAGACTCTATGCATGCAACCTCAGCAAAGCCCACCAGACTTGATTTTGGCGTCGGCGAACCTCGCGTTTGCCGTGCATGCTTGGCTGCTGCGCACAACATGATGCCACGAAGCCAGCATCGCCTCCGCCATTTCTAATGCAGCAGCCCTGGTGCCACTCTTTGGGCGGAGCTCTTGTTCCAGCAAGCCCTGCAGCAAGCTCTTCACTCATTGCAGGCAAAGCTCAGCAATTACTGCGACTCAGGGTAGCGCGGCAGATATCCGATCTAAAAGCACCGCAACAAGCCACGCCTGAAGAACAGACAACAGTTCTTCAATCACTTGGAACACAAGATCTGAGCTCTGCACCCCCCAGGACTTGCGCCCTCTTCGGTGAAGCATGGTTAGGTGAAGGAGCGGGCGCATATGATGCAACACCTGTATCTGGTTGCAAACTGACCACCACCAGTCACTGGGCAATCGCTCACGACAGCCTCCGCGACAACAATCTGACGGGTATTCGGAGTACGATCCTGATGCGCAGTGTCCATGGAAAAATAGAGAGGCCAGCAGCGAGGGCTCTTGATTCTCCTCTCGCAAACCAGCCGCAACTCCTTAGAAGAACGTTTGACAAGCACAAGGTTCTGGGATGCCGTTCGGCAGCCAACGTTCTGGCAAACCTAGGCCGCCAGCTTGCCGGCGGAGCTGCTGCAGGCTGGGGAGCTGCGTCGCCGTTGTCGAGGGGCCCTTGAGCCTTCTTTAGAGCCACCACGGCTGGCAATTTCAACACAACCCAACGACCAGGCGGATTTGGGCCTCCAAAGCCTTCAAAGAGCGGCCTGTTCGCCTGGGTCGAGCTACGCGATGTTGGCCCGGGCCGAAAGAGGCGACGCGAAGTCTTTCCGATTTCCAATCACCACATGTTAACACGATTTGGCGATTGGCGTTGAGGATCGGGCCGCCCCACATAAACTGCCTCTGCAGGAGCAACGCCTCAGCGTATCAAGTAAAGCACAAGTCTGCTCACGACATGCACCACTGACCCACTGCCCCCTGCAGTGGTCGTCCAAGGCTGTCGCACGCGGCATCCGATTCTGTCGCCCTGAGCTTTGGCTGGCAAGTTCCAAAGCGCCACCAAAAGAAACGTTCGAGATGACTTCTCTCCGTGCTGAGAAAGCTTCTGTTCATCTCGCTTGCCAAGCAAAGCAGCATTTCGCTGCTCCCTTGGCATCCGCGAGCGTGGGCTGACTGCAAGGCTCGTGAAGGCTGACAATGTCCCCACAAGCGAGGCGGCCAAACAACAGTTTCGGAGGCTCTGCATCTTCAATTGCAACCTGGCCGATCAGCAACGAACGGCCTTGCTTGGAAAGAAGCACCCGGCCTCATCGACATAGAAGCTGAAGGGCATTCTGAGTCTCAGGAAAACCTTCAGCACCTCAGACCGTCTGTCGACGGGACGGGGTCTAGGTACTACGGCTCTGCCAGGCTCTGCATAAACCGCATAAGGACTGAGCACCAAACCAGTTTCACGATCTCAAGCCTGAAACAGACCCGCAATGCGTGCTTGGAGCCTGGGCTGCGAACATGGGCAGAGGAGTCAGCAACTCTTTCAAGTTTACACTCGCTAGAAATGAAGATAGCATGAAAGTGTTTCCTCCGAATCCCCCAAACACATTCGAGTGCCCGACCCTTTCTTCGAAAAGCATCCATCTCAACCAGCACCTCTGGCGAGTGTGCATACTTTTCCGGGAAGGTATCACCTAATTTGAAAATTTAGGGAACCTGAATGGAGCGAAGGGCTCGGAGGGCAAAGGCCGCGAGCATGTAAGTCAGACCTTCACTTTCAGTTTCAACCCCACAAGACTGTGTTTCCAGTGTTTGGTTTCTGCTTCTGGCTCTCACACCTCTTTTTATCTCTCCCTTCTGCAACAGCCCGAACTTCAAAAGCGATGCGAGAAGACTCGAACTTGAGCTGCCTTTGAACACCGCACAAAATCACCCACAAAGCATGCCGAAGATTCGGGCACGGCGTAACTCCTTGGACGGAGGCTGCGTCATACTGACTATGCCTCTGCAGGGAACGCAAGAAGAAAAGAAAGCCTGCACCCAGATTCGTGTCGGTGAAGAATCCTGGCCTGCGTTGGGACTGTCACAGACCGGAATCCTGAAGATCGCGGTCGCGCGAAGGCAGTCCAGGGCAGTGCTGGTGACGCTTTGAGCCAAGCCCCCGACTCTTCCGGGCTGCGCAGCACAACTGTTCGATACCTCGCGGTTTTAATATCATTCGGTGTCGCCTTTTCCTGCACAACGGCTTCCAACGCGCAGGGCGCAGATTGAAAAGGTCGCTGAGGGAGTAAACAGCCTGTTTAGCGAAAGCCGAACGCAACGACACGCCTTGCTCGGCTTTCCCAAGCCTGGCTCCAAAATCCTGCTTTGTCGTCGTCGTCTTCCTCCCCGTACCACAGACATGATCACAGTCCGACAAGCTGCAGAGAGCAGAAGCTTCGCATATTGCCTGCACAGGGACCAGCACGACGCACATTTGCAGCATCTGCTCCAGCCTCGGCAAAGCGGCACAAACCGAGCCCTGGTAATGACCCTCTCGGACGTTCGGACGTGGACGTGGCACAAATTATGTGACAAATCGATGACTTCAGACCCTCTGAGCTGTCGTGCTGCTCACCCCATCGGTCCATGAAGGCCCGCTGCGCCGCGAGGCCAGCCTGGCCCAGCGGGATCAGCAAAGAGAAGGGGACCTTCTCTTAAAGTGAGCGAAGCGCTTTTCTGTGCAAACACCGCACGCACAAAGCACGAACGCTCTTTGCGCTCTTCATTTAACAACCGTCACAAGCTTGGCTTTGGACTGCGAGTCTAAGGCTTCACAAGCATCCGTATGTCGGTGGAGTGGCTTTCGCGAAAGTCGTCGTCCTCTTGTGTCATGGTCGCTCGTCTGGCATGTGACGTATGATGAGCATCGGGAGGTTCAAATGCCCTTCTATATAGGATGCTTCTCCACGCCGAGTAGAGTTGTGGCGGCAAACGCAGGCCGCTCTAACCGTTTCACTCGCAAGTAACTTTGCACCGTCAATCGGATCTAAGAGTGCATGCAGGTGAATGCCATCAATCCGGTCATGCAGAACGTACATTGACCTGTTGCTGCTGATTTGGCAGGTAGAACGGTGCTAGCAGCTGCTCTTTCGTCCGAGTCCAGACCATCTTTCCTTGTGAGTACTTGCTCAATGAACCTTCTTCCGGAGTGTACGACTTACCCGCCAAGTCCTGAAAGGTCCAGTTCTTGATGGTGATGCTGTTGTCCACAGGATAGCTGCCTCCGAAGCTAGTATAGAATACGAACATAGAAGTGTCAATACAACTCTCCCCGCTTTCTGGCTGCAAAATAGGATGCTGTGGTGTGGGAGCTCTGCAGGTGATGCTGTCAAACGTAACCTCCTTTAGTCCGTATGTTGCAACGCAGTTTCCATACCAGTTTGGCCGCATGATGCCCGGATTCACCGCGGTACAACTCCGGAAGGTCACATTCTCTGGGTTGGCGTTGGCCCCCCAAACCACGTACATGTCATCACCTGTGTTCTCGAAGTAGACCGACTCGACAAGAGCACCTTGCAGATACCCGTGTAGATTGATGGCATCAGCCTGTGCAGTTCTGGAGACAAGGTTTCTCACAAGTAGGTCACGAGTTCCTTGCCAGTTTCTAGTCTCTGGAACCCAAACGCCTACCTGGGTGGAGCGGACACCATTTGGATTGCAGAAACAGCACTCGCTCGTCCACTTGTCCGTTTTGCAGTCGTAGTTCCCTGGTATCAGCGCTCCTACCATGGTCTGGTCTTCAATAAAGAAGAAGTCGTTCAGCCGAACGTTCTCAATCGTCACAGAGACGGAGCCTAGGCCGTCGGAGCCACCGTTATTCACGGCGGATGCAGAGCAGCTGTTCTCCGCGCAGCCTTTGGTTTCAAAGGCACCTCCGCCGCAAAGCGCTCCGTTGTCGTTGGGTCGAATTGTGTCGATACCCTGATAACTTAAGTTGCGCACTGTCACGTAGCTGCTGAGCACGAATCCGACCCTCGTCGTCACCATGTTGGCAGCGTGACAGTAGACCATGTTGTAATCTATGACACCTCGTGTTGCAAGAAAAAGAGTCTGCTCCTCCCATATTGGTGTTTTTGCTGGCTGCGACCAATCGTTAGGGTCTCGGGCTCCAATGATGGATGTCCGCTCCGGAACCAACAGCTGCTCGTCAAGTTCAAAAATGCCAGGTGGGAACCTGTAAAGCTTTTGGCCACCCTCCACAGCACATGCAATCTTGGTGGAGGTACTGGGAAGTGACTTCGAGTGTACTTCAAAATCCTGACATATCCCCGCTCGGATCGATGGCCCCCATGAAATAAATGGATAAACCTGACACTGAGGGCAGGGTCCAAGAACTTCATTGACCTGGTATCTCCAGATTCTCAGACGGGTAGACGCATCCTCTGCGGCGAAGACGAGGCATGACTTGAAAATCAGCTGGAGCAAGCCGAGCCGTACCGCCATGACTGACACAGGATCTTATCGCAAAAACTTGAGCCAAAGACCGGGTTGACGCTGCGATTCTAAGCCCTTGCAAAAACCTGCATGGATCACTCTGCCACTCGTGAAGGCCTCAATCCGAGTCTGGGTGCAGGCAGCCATGGCAGCCATACAGTATTGTGGTATGCTTTGGAAGGAGTGGAAGAAAGAGATCGTCTACCGGTCTGCTAGAAAAGCGGAAGCCGCTGAGTCTGAGTGTGTGCAATGCACAGGCCGGCTAGGCAACCATGTTTAGCCTTGCTCCGGTGTTGCGTTGATGTTTGCCGGATCCGAAACCGAGGACGGGCCATCTGTTGATTCAAGTTGCGACTGCAACACGCACCGGCACACGAAAGACTGACAGGCGCAGGATGTCTTCCAAGTCAGCGGCGGTCAGGTCTTTGGACTGCCATAGCTTCTGGGCATTATCCACAAGGGGCAGATTCTGTAAGGTGTGGGCCACGCAGGCTTCCGACAATCTGCCCAAGCTGTGAAACAGACTAACCAAACCGTCGAAGATGCGATCAAGAAAGCCACAATGCTGACGCTAGGCTATGTTGCAAGCGGCTCTGTCACGCGGTTCTCTGGATGTGAACCATGACCTGGAGATTGGCCGTGCATGCAAGTCCACAGGTTGCAGGAGCTGCCAGCTTGCGCCTGCATCGTCCGCTCGACCCAAGACCCTCGACATAAGCTCGCGCACAGTGCGGTCGTACTCCTCGGGTGCGCGCTGCGACATGGGCTTGCTGCCAGCGCTCCCCGCATCATTTCACAAACCCAAAAGAAAGACTTGGCAGGGCTTCTAATTTGCTGGACCGAGCAGAGCCGTTGCACAGGCCGGAGCGAGACTATAACGTAAACTCCCAATGAGACAAGCGGGGTACACTCCGTGTTATCAACTGTTTTCCACGTGAATAAAAACATCAGCTGTTGCTAAGGGACCGCTCCAGAATCACGCGCACACCTCTCGAACAGCAACCAAACGCCTCCAAAAGACGCGGAGTGGTTCTTCTACTGCTGCTGCTAATGCTGCTGTTGCCGCTGGTTCGGCTGCTCCTTCTGCTACTACTGGCTCTTCTCACTGCCACTGCCACTGCCACTAGCACAATCAGTGCCACTACCACGACAACGACCACTTGCGACTGCGACTGCTCCTGCTCCTGCTGCTGCTACTTCTTCTGCTGCTAGTTCCTGCTACTACTGCTACTATTATTACTACTACGACTGCTACCACTACCAGTACCACTACCACTACCACTACCAATACCACTACTACTACTATTTTTTCAATTGAACGCTGCGCGAGCGTGCTCTGCGCTTTGCGGGCGCCTTTGGTCTCGTGCACTCGTGAAACTGCTTCTAGCATGCATCGCTCATACCTCTCGAATCAGCTCAAACTTGAAAAACTACAGCTACAAAAGCTTCCTCCTCCGACACCTTGGAGTGAACAGACGCGTCCGTCTGTGCACCTGTCACAACAATTAGGCCGTACCTCAGACGAAGCCGACACCTGGAGTATCCGTCTCGTGGCGCCCCACACGGATTACTCATGTTGAAGACAGAAGGCCGTAAGGGCCATATGCCCATGACCGCATGTACCTGAAAGCATCTCCGATGGAGTGAGGCTGTTGGCAGCTTGGACGTGGGCAGCTCTCTGATGCAGCGATGTGCTGTTTTAAGCAAGGTTAGCTCGCGGTTCACAGGCTTCCGAAGAGATTTGCTAAGCGTCGGAAGAGTTCCGAATTCCCAGAGTCTGTGACAGAAGGGATCAAAGAGTCTGTGACATATCTCTACCCTCACTGGTCATGACCTTTCGGCCACTGCTGGGAGTAACTGTGCCAGGACCACTGCTGCCACCAGTCCCAGTCGTCTTCTTGAGAGGAGCGTGCCTGCCTGGCCCACTGGGTCGAGGATGAAGAGGAGGGGGCATCGCGCTGTCGCTTGCCCTCTGTGTCAGCCTCTTGCATCTGTGGGCGCTTGTTAGGGGCAGCAGCAGCCAGTTTGGCCATGCGCTTGTCTTCCTCGTGCCCCTTGTCATGCTGAATCCGCATCTTCATGATGGAGTAGGCATCTTTGTTGGGTTTGACCCTGAAGACACGAGCTGGGAGTCCGGCTGATTTGGCCGTCTCATTGTAGACTGCCACGATGGTAGTGGCGATCATGTTGAACTCGACCCACGAGGGGAAGTGCTGCTGAAAGTCCTTCTCGTCCCACATCTTGTTAAAGCAGGCATGAATAAGGCCATGCACCTTTGTGGGGGCATCCAGCTCACGATAGGCTCCTCCCGCGCCTGTGGCTATAGTGACCTTCCCATCGCTGGTGAGGACCCGCCTCACCGACATGGCGATGTCCCATGTGAGGCCTGTTTGTGTCCTTACTGACTTGATGGCAGAGAACAGCGGGGGAACCTCGCGGAGTGCGTCCATCCTGGTAGACCAGAGGGTCTGTTGCTCATGGTTGGTGAGGCCGCCGAGAATGACTGGAGCCACCAGGATATTAATGGAAGCCAAGGCCCGAATCCAGTCCTGATGGGACTGGGAACTCAGCAGTTGAGCCAGCTCCTGCCGCGTGTATCGTACTGTCTGTTGTGGAGCCGGCTGTGGAACATAGCCAACGGGTGCCGCATTGGTTTCCGGAGGCTCATATGCTGACGGGGGACGGGGGGAAGGAGGAGGGGGCGTGTGGGAGCGCGCAGCGGCCTGGGTGACAGGGGCCGGACTTGGGAGGGTGCGGAGGGATCGGGGAAACAGGGATAGCCGGTGGGGGAGCAGGTGCTGCCGAGGAGGAATTCTCCGGAGGCTGGGGGCATGGGGTGGGCACCATGGACGGTGGGGCCTTAGCCGGAAGCGCTGGGGCCGCCTTCGGTGCTTCCGCCTGGCTTGCCTTGAAAGCCGCCTTTTCAGCCGCTGAGGAAGTGAAAGGGCACGGGGGGGAAGGCGGCGGCTCAAAGCCGGCTGCTTTGTCTGTTCCTTTGGTCCTGGTACTGCTGGGGGGAAGAGGAATCTCCTGTGGGTGCTTTGGGGAAGGGGGAGGAAGAGGTGCGAGGGATGCCGACAAGTCGCTTGGTGCCGCAGGTTGTGACACCGGGTCATGCTTCTGCGTGACAAAGTGGTTTTTGAGGCCGTGGCCAGTACTGAACTGGATCTGTCGGTTATGCTTCCGGCAGTGGAGGCAGCACAGCCACATGGATCCTGATACTTCCATTTGTCCCAAGCCGCGAGGGATGAGCTCCAGCACATCCTGCTCTGTAAGATCTTGGTTATAGTGATGGGTCTCACGGACTGTGGCCATGAGCGCCGCAAAGGAGTTGTGCTGGATGCTGTCTGCCACATAGGTTTCAATATCCTCCTGAGTAGGAGGAGGAGGAGCTGATGTGGCGGTTGCCGTGGTCTGTGACCTAAGTGGCTGAGGTGAGCTGTGCTCTTCAGGTCGATCGGACTGGATTTCCAGGGAGATGTCGGGTAGCTGGCTCTGCAGCATGCAATCGGTTCGTTCTTTGGTGGTGGGGTCTCCCTGAAAGCCCTTCATCCACTTCCAGCACCTGGTGTAGGCGACTGTCGTGTTGTTGGCTGTCACAAAGTAGTGGCCATCGTTGTCATACTTTTTGTTCTTCACGCGCTTGTCCCAACGCTCCGAGAACAGGTAGATGGGGCCAAACTTGGCGGAAACATTCCAGCCCGCTTGAGGGGAATGACCAAGGTCTCGACTCAAGATCTGCCAGAGAAATTTGCAGAAGATCATGTATTCCAGGTTCGCCTTCGCTGTCATAACCTGACGGCTGAAGGCGTGCTGTATGGCCTCCCTCATCAAAGGGTGCCTGGGCTTGCCATAGATGATGCCTTGAAAGATGTGATCTCCTTTGACTCCAATGGCCATGACCATGAACTCCTTTGGGAGTTGGCCAGGTGGGGAGGGTCTGTGACCCACTTCACCTGCCTTCTTTGAGTGAGCTGTGCTCCAATCTGCTGCCAGGAGCTGCAGTACCTGTTCCCAGGGTACCACAAAGCCACATTTGATATCGACATAGAGGCCGCCGTGCTGGTAGTGGTAGACGTAGCGGAACACGTCAGCTCTATGAGCAGGTTGACTGAGGCGGTCCAGCAGATTGGAGCCGTACTTGCCGGCAAGTTGCCGCAGGGTAGCCCGAAGGATACCATCGTCACAGAATTTGCGGGTGAAGCCTGCAAACATTTTGGCCGCAACTTGGGCTGGCTCCGGCTTGTCGTCGTGGACATAGGTCTGGAAGAGGAGGGCCGGGACGGGGGCGGCCTCCCATTCTGGGAGATGCATGAAGCGCATACCCCAGGGGCCATGTCCGTACTGCATGGCAACCTCCGAAAGATCTCGGACAGTTCGGCATTGTGACAGAGCCTGGGCTGCAAGCATTTCGACATGCATGTCCTGCTGGCGAGCATTCCAGCCAGCAACCACGAGGACAGGCAGTCCTGGGGTGTTGCGCATTTCCTCAATGGCTCTTGTGACAAGTGCCGGGATGACGATGTCCGCAACATCGGGGCGGAAGTGGAGATTCTTGGAGTTGTAGAGCCATTCTACCCCTCCTACACCAGGTATCTGTGCCAAATCCATGATTTCCTGATTGGGCAGGTTTTTGTCCGCAAAACCATATTGGACCCTGCCGTCTATCAGGTAGTCATAATTGACTTGCTTCTCCGGGCGCAAGCTTCTTGACAGCGGAATGAAGCGAACGTTGATTTGTCCATCAAGGTGGCTCTCCAAAATGGAGGCCACCGGCTGACTCTGAACCGCCGCCTTGAATTTGTGCGGCCCAAAGAGGCCAAATTGCCAGTGGAGGAGCTCCATGATGGAGGGGACGCTGCTAGCAGAAATGTTGAGGGCGGCGCCTGGACAGCTTAAGACCTGTCCCGTCAGCAATGGGAACACTCCGTACGTATGTCCCCGCAGCATGTGCTGCAAGGTGCTATCGCTGAGCACCAGAAAGGGTCCCAAACTTGGAGGGGTGTCCATGGTCTCAGCTGTAGCTGATGGGCCAGAGTCTGTGACACGCGGCCAAGAGGTGAGCTGTGCTCTTCGCGGAGTCGCAGTTTGTTCTGAAGTCTTAGCTTCTGCAAGGCATGTCTTTAGAGCAAGCTGCTGTACTTCTGCTGCTGCCTACTGTATCGACAGTTCGAACTGACAGCTGCGGTATGCATGCACAGCATTACAGAGTCTTATGGCCAAGCACGAAGCTCAGGGCAACGCAGGACGACTGGAGACAAAGAACATCAGCGGAGGGCACGCGAGCAAGGACTGCTGGTGCCATGTGGTAGCTGGGGCCTCGGATTGCAGGATAGAGCAATCGATGATGCAGCAGTAGCTGGGTTCAGGCATGCTGCAAGATCAATTTCTCAGGGCAGGTGGGCAACACATCTCGGACTGTGACTAGCTGGGTGGCTGTGCCACACCTAAGCGGAGGCTGTGCCATATTCCTAGCATGAGTCGATGACATCCCTGTGGCTCACAAGTTCTCAAAGGAGACTGTAGTAGTGGTCATAGAGAACACTGTGAACCTCTTCGCCTCTGCTGATTGTTGCTGCTTGTCCGTCTTGGTTGAGGGGGTTCAGGAACTTCTGCACCACGACGTGCTTGCTGTGCTGAATGTGGATGGTGAGCTCTTCAGACGCGAGGTGCCACTGGGGCGTGTCAAAGGACTGGACCATGACGCGTAGGTCAAGAGACATTGCTGCCCTGGCCATGCGG